CTCCACCTCACACAGAGGGCTTTCACATTCACAACGCACAAGCTTGGCAGAGACATACACAGAAAAAAGTTCCCTGAAGCTCTCTCACGGCCTCTTTATTTGGTTGACACAAAATATAAATAAATAAATAAATAAAGCATATCTAAAATAGCATAGCTTAAAATAGAGCAGTGAAATGGCTGAGAACAGAGCAATTCTAATTTATGATAAACCAAAAAATAATATTCCTGAAACATAATAGCATTGACCGACTGTCCTGATCCAACCAGATTAAATAAAGCCTGTAAGACATTTAAAAAAAAAATCATGTAGAAAAGGCTCAAACCAAACCAACTGCTCCATCCTTCTGGAAAACTGTCTCCTCCTCTGAGGATATTAACCGTCCAGCTGCTTGTCCACTACTGTCAGTGACACACCTCATCTCCACTCAGTAGTGCGCTTGGTATCACGGCCTGCTCCTTCCTATGTGGCTGGAGAGGCGATCCACTTGGCAGGCACAGATGGCAGACACGCTGGTGTTTTCCAGCAGGGAAGGTCACAGAGATCAGCGTACACGACATGTCCCACCATTCTTTGATCCGTTTCCAGCTGCTCAGGCGGTGATAGTTCACACGGGATCAAATAATACTGAGATTAAACGATTGTTGTAACTGCAACCGACAGTTTGAGGTTTTATCACTGTGCAAAGTTTGGGGAAGTGTTGTATTGTATGGAACGCACACATTGGTCCCTGAGGTCTCCTGGTCAGGCAGTCATGGCTGTGCCAAACACGAGTGTTAAGACGACGAGTATTCTTTACTACTAACAACCCTCAAAAATATACATGTTTGATGAGCACACTTTATTGACATTTCAAAATCTTCAAAGACTACTACTGGAATACTTCACCCTCGAAATGACTGTGAGTATATTCATTAGTCATGTTGCCTTGAATTCATGAAGAAAACTTGGTGGTTAACTGATTGACTGGGGACCACGTTTAACAAAAGCAGTATAATCCAAGTCTAATTTTTCCAATTGTATGTTTAGTACTTCTTATCAATGGTCTCTTCCACAATCTGTTCATTGAAATTTTCCAAATAGAGAAGAGAAAACACACGCTATTATTCGGTTAATGCAGTGACACACCTAAAAAGTAAGTAGTAAGTAAAATAAGAACATGGCTGGTAAGGTAACAAAGGCTGTAAAAGCCTCATGAGAAGAGAGAGTGGTACTGTGGGTGGAGTTACACCAAACAATGCAATCATAGCAGTAGGTTCAACAGATTTTCCAGTAACCCTTGATCCCAGTGATCTAAAGATTTCCCCCCAGTATGTCTGTAATGCAGGACAAGACTGGAACATGTGTACATGGCTTGCCACTTGCCAATGCTTGACCACACCTGTCACATGTCAGGTTTACATCTTTATAGATCTTAGAGAGCCTAACCTTTGGGAAATGAGCACAATGTACTATTTTGTTTGGAAAGTACTGAGCAGACAATGGGATAAATGAGACTTGGGTTATACTGCACAAGTTGTGTGAGAGTTTGTATATAGATGTTTGGATATAATTTTGCTTTTGTTAAATGTGGATCCCAATCAATCAATAAATCAATATGTTTGCTGTTTTCCTCGGAGGCATGAGAGCAAAACAATGTTTTTCTTCACAAATTCAGTGTAACCTGGCATGATGAACTGATATCCAAATGGTCATCTTGTGGGTGTAAGTTTTGCTTTAAGGACACTTTTTTTGTTTGCAATGTCTTTGGTTTTTGTGTCAGTTTAAATTGTCTCTACTTCTGTTTGTGTGCATTGTCTGATCATTTTAAAATGTTGTGTAAAATCTCAGCACGGTGGTGCAATGGTTAGCATTGTCACCTCAAAGCAAGAGGATTCCCAGTTGGAATCCAGGGTGAGGGAGCCCTTTGCATGTCCTCCCCATGTCAGCGTGGGTTTTCTCTGGGTACTCCAACTTCCTCCCACAGTCCAAAGACATGCAGGTTAACTGGTGACTCTAAATTGTCCGTAGGTGAGAATGTGAGTGTGAATGGTTGTCTTTCTCAACGAATCAGCCCTGTGATAGTCTGGTGACCTGTCCAGGGTGTACCCTGCCTCTCGCCCAATGTCAGCTGGGATACGCTCCAGCCCCCCCATGAACCCTAACAGGATAAGCGGTCACAGAAAATGAATTGATGTACACAGTCAAAGTAAATTTTGATTTTTCAAACAAACTGAGCTCGTTACAGATATGTCTCTATATGTCGGCCGATAAATGACAAGAAATTGCAGCAGAGATGTCAAAAATAATTTAGAAACAAAATCATGACATTTTTATTGCAATTCTTAAATAATCAAATTTATGGGATCCTAATTAAACTTTTTCTGAGATATATGTTCACATTAATAGACAAATTTTAGTTGTTTCAACAAGTCTCAACAATTTTTTAAACTGGGCTTTAGCTGTCATTTACTCATTTGGAGTGAAATGAAAAAGTTTTATGCATCTAAAATCTGCTTTAATTTATTTAGTCAGAGGCTCCTGTGAGGTCTACATGTGTTGTATTACTCTCCAGTCTGTGGCAGTCTGGGGCAGCAGACTAAATTTTAAAATTATACTGACTTGGATCAAGCAAGCAAAAATGACCTGGTATCTGACCAGAGTCAACAGGACAGTATTTTGTGTCATTTTCCTGCAGCTCTCTCGTGCTTAGAACAATTTGTTTTCATTGCTGTCTTACAGTTTGGCAAACACTGCTGTGACGCAAACCCAGACAGTGAAAACCGTCTTTACAGTTAAACTGTTTTACTTATCAGAAGCTGAAGTCCTGCAGCCAAAGTGCAGGAGGTCAGCATCATGTAAATGATATGTCCTCTGGCAGGCATGGTGTTTTTACATGGTTTGTTTAGGGAGTCCGTCTGATTCAACTCTTGTATTATGTCCATATTAAGCTTGGCATCCAGCACAAAGAGGGAGTCATATTCACGGGTTTTATGAGGGGCTGGATGTAGATAAAGATTATCTTTCTAACAGTTTTTGCTGGAGAACAAAATTCAGCTGAGTAGTGTGTACTGATGTGTTAAGTGTTGAAATGCGAGTGAGCTGTATTGTAAGTACTGTAAGTATTTCTGTTTAACATCCATCCATGACTAAATAAGCAATGATTATGGTTAAAAAACTGAACATCCTAAGGTATTATTGATTACAAATTCAGAAACAATAACAATACCAGTACAGATAACATTTCTAGTTAGTGTCCGTCAGTGTGTAGCAGTGCCCCATAGTGTCTGGAGGAAACTTGGCTGGACAACAACGTAAGTTCAGGAGGCAAAAAGTCCAAGTAGGGTGGGTAAAGAGGTGGTGGATGGGTCCATCAATCACCACCTTTCACCTGGGAGGCTTGTGTTTGTATCCCATATGAATGTAAAGCCATTATTGTTTTTTAAACCTAACCATGTGCATTTGTTGTTGCAGGAAAAAAAAAATTGCGGTGTTGTACAGACGTAGTACATTTATTTTGAAAGACACTATGCAAACTGTACATTTCCTGTGAAAATGGAGGTGTATTGAAACTGAAGCTGACACGGCACCCCAGAATGTCAACAACAGACGCACCCAAGCTACCTTGCACGTCATATGTCCACGTGGAAAGTCCACGTTCAAGTGACAATATGTGACAAGGCTGGAGTGAGAATGTGTTGAAAAGACGAACAGCTTTAATTTGAAGGAGTCCATTGATTTTAAGGCAACAAAACATTTAATGGGCACAAGCCTCCTCAAGTTCAGGGGTGACTCGTGTGTACTCACTGAACCCATTTTCAGTCAGATATCTTGAGGTGAGAGGTCAAGGGACCCCTTTGAAAATGGCCAGGCCAGTTGTTCTCTTGCTAAATTTAGCCCAAGTTTGGGGCGTTATTTTGCCCCCTTTCCAACAAGCTGTGCCAAAATGGCTGGTATCAATCGATGCCTCACATTGTCTAGTTTCACAAGATACCAACACTTAGCTTGATAAATGAGTGCGCAACAGCCTCTTAATTCGTTTCCACCAACACTTTCGGTATGAAACCTTTGGAACCTAAAGTAACCCTTCAAACATGGTACCTAGACCCTAGGTCTGTTTAGCGTTTCCACCACAAACAGTAGTCTTTCATGTGTTCCATAGCCCACAGGATTGATGCTCTGCAATGCTTTATTTTTTCTCAGAATGAGTATCAGAATATGTCGCTCACATAACCCTGTTGAAATTAATTTATATAAATGCTTGAAGATCCAGTCATTACTAAAAGTGCATGTCATATAAAAACTAAAGTGAAATTTAAGGTGTGTTGACTGATTCACGTCTTCACCTCATGCATTGAGTAACACTACAAGTTGACATTCCACCTTAAAAGTTGCCGGCAGTCGGCCCAGTGAATTAATTCACCTGCCTCTCCTGTGGGGGCATCACTGCAAACAACAGACTTGGCAATGTCCTGCAAGCTAGATACTGGAGCACAGTTATGCAGAAGTTAAGATACCCGAGATATAGCCACACCTTTTCACACCACATATTCACACCCATGCACAAAGTCATGCTAAAGTAGTTTTCAGCACCAATGGTTTTCTGTTGACAGAACATGACTTATATACTCATGGTGAGGAAATGTATCATGAAGTCTTGGAAACAACAGAAAGCTATAAATTACAACATCATACTGTATTTAGCTCCAGACCTCCGCCCTCCCGCTGCTCTCACTCCTTGTTCCTTTTTTTTGCACACTGCAAAAAATATCCACCTCAATAATTCATTTGAACTCCGGTTTGAACTCCGGTTAGTCGATTCATCTAAGTAAATAAGTCGCAACAGACCCGAAACCGAGTTTATTAAAACAAATAATGTGTCAAGAGAAAATTATGCATTTCAGAGCGACTGTGCGCCTCAGTGAGTCGTAGGGACGGACATTTTTTACAGTGCAGGACCGCCTGTCTCTGCCCCTCCTGCATCATCTGCCTCCCCGCGCTGCTCCGCCGCCGAGCTTCTCTCTTCTGTGTCTCACACAGTTTTCCAGGAGGACCAGTCCTTGTCAGACTCCCTACACACACACCCCAGCACGGACAGCTGCAGCGCCGACCAACAACCATGGCTTCACGGGACACTACCTCTCTGCTCGTCGGACTTCTGGTCCTGTTTTACACCTGGGGAGGTGAGTGACCGAGAAATGTTTGATACCCGACCCGCGCGACACGAGGTGTTTGAGATGAAAAGCACAGATAGAGGCGTGTAAAACATCACGAGACAGACAAAAGTTAGTCATGAAAGTAGCAGTAAGTGTGATGTTCAGTTTACAGTTGTTTTATCTTGCACGGACATTCCCTGCTGAGGTGTTGGGACTGAGCCAAACAAGTGGAAATTCAACTTTTCATCATTTAAGGAACCTTTCAAGGGAGCTTAAAGAGGTCTCAGGTCACCTCCCTGCAGCCCTGTCCTGTCCCATAGGTGCAGCTCCTGTGTACACTGCATAGCTGTGATACTGCACAGTCCCCTCTTGCTTACATTACTTTAAGAAAAATATCTACACACACCCATGGGAAAACCTTTCACACACTGCAGCCCTGTGTTGTGACCTGTATGTGCTGACATGTTTTTTTCAAGTCCTCACACAAAGCAGATTTTAGACTAGAATGACTTTAATTAACCTAATCAAAAAATTAAAGCAGGGGCGTGGGAATCTGTTCAACATTGCAGGTGAGCAGGGTGGGGGGGGGAATGGAGTTTGGGGGTCCTCCTCCAGAAAATTTCAAACATCAGACACTTGGATTTGCTGCATTCTGGTTAAGTTTTTGCTCCAATTTGTGACTTTTTCCTCAAAATTTAACATTTAATTTCACAAAAATTCTCAAATTTGTGTTACGTCCTACACCTTCCTCTGTTTCACATAAATACAAAAATACAAATCTGCATCTGTTAGGGATGGGAACCACCAGAGGATCCATATAAGATATTACCACGACACTTTGGTCACTTTAGTCATTATTGCGGTTTTAAATATGTTGCGATATGCTGAGTATTGCGATTAAATTGCAATTTATTACCTTTTTTCAGCTGTAAATTATGTCCCCAAAGGAAAACTTTGTCAACATTTGTTTTATCTAATAAGATAGTTTTCAGTGTGTTCATCTCACTTCAAAAGCAACTGATAATATTATTCTAGTAGGCTACCTAAAGTTTATTTTGCATTTGCACATATTAATAATTTAAATAATTAAAAAAAATTATACTTGGCACTTTATGATGATACGATATTGTCGATACTTCAGTCACGATATTATCGTGATTTTAAATATGTTGCGATATGCTGAGTATTGCGATAAAATATATTACGATATATTGCGATTTATTACCTTTTTTTCAACTGTAAATTATGTGCCTAAAGGAAAACTTTGTCAACATCGTTTTTATCCAATAAGATAAATTCCTCAGTCTGTTCATCGCACTACAGCCATTTTTTTGCTTGCTACTGTGTGACGATATATTGCCACACAGAAATATCGCGATACTATGCTGTATCGATTCCCCCCACCCCTGGCATCTATATATGGTATGAATGTCTTTTAATATTACAAAGATAAAAGTCCTCGACTACTTTCATGTTTTTCTTAATGGGTACAATTGGTGCACTTGTTATAAAATTGAGGGGGGCATGCCCCCTGCATCCACCAGGAATCTACACCTATATATGACAGTACTGCACACCAGCTTGAAGGCTGTAGCTTAGTGACACTAATTGAAAATGTGTTGTATATTATATAATATATAGGTCATGTTGAAATGGATGTGCCACTTTTACGCCTTCTTTCTCGGTCTGAATGCATTTCCTTTGCAGGTTGTGTGATGCGTGAAAAATGGAGGAATGTGAACTCTTTTAAGTGCAAAATTTTGAAATATTTGTGCTGCTATTTCCAGTCCATGCTGTGAATAAACAAATCAGGCTTGCTGGACATGTCTACTGTAAAATGCTCTAAATTAAATTATCATAATAAGACATCATACTTTGCTGATTTCCATGGTAGCTTGTTAGGGTTGGTTCGAATAGTTTTCCGCATGTATTTTTAGCTGCCGACATCCACAGAAGTCCGGTTGTAGTCACGGAGCTCTCCGTCTGCTTTCTGTCAGCTCTTGTCTGTGATCGAGTGGCTCAGTGCTGCCCGGGCAGCAAACTATGTTCCTGTCACACACAGAAACATTCAGTCAAACACATTCCTGGTCAGATCCAGCTCTCTCTGCTCAGGTTTAGAGTGTGTAGCAAAAGGAAATTAAAAGTTTCGCTTGAGCAGTTTATCACCATGTTTATGGTTAATCAGACTTCTTTAAATCAGCTGCTTGAGACTATAATAAAAGAAAGTTGGATGGCAGCCTGTTGGATGCATGATGAGATGCAGATGAATGTTTATTTTTAGAGGAGAGCGTGTGAGTGTAGATTTATACGTGGAGGTATGTGGGTGAGAAGGGCACGGCACCCTCTGCTATCCACATTACAGTTTCCTTTTAAAGAGCATTTAATTTTGTGTCGGTGTGCCTTTACTTGTTTGTTTAAACAAGACTGTTCAGTGTGCGCTCCCCCACTCCGCCCCCAACCTTCAACCCTTCCTCTCTGTGAGCTGGACTTCCCTCCTCTCCTGCCCGCCCTCTCTCCTTACGTTTTTACCTTTCCTTATCCCTGATTGTGCTTGACCATATGAACCTTTCCCCGCCTCGTCCCTGTATTGTGCTGATCTCCTGTTTAAGTTCAGCCTGACCATTGTGTGTGATCACCTCCAACTCTCTCTGCTCTTATCAAGTGCACTCCCTGACCTCTCCTTCTCTGGTTATCTTCAGGCCTTGTGCCGGTGTCCTTTGCCTCTAATCCATATCTACCCTGACATTCATTAAATTATATTTTTTACCACTTGAAGAAGTACACAAGGACACAAAGACTTTTCAAATTGGTGCCACATGACCAGAGAAAGCAGGGAAAAAGGGCTGTGGCTTTTGCTTTTGCACAAGAGGTGGAAAATCTACAAATACCAGAATGCACTGCGCCACAAGGATTCAATACATGCTTCCGCTGGTGTATGATGATATAATGGGAGCTTGGCTGTTTTGACACGGGAAACAGTATGGCAGACGGCAGGTAACCAATGATCCAGAATTACAGTTAAACAGTGAGCTAAAAAAGTTCCCTGAAGACATCTGAGGAGAGAAATAGGCAATACAGTACTGTTTAGTTTTACAATTAGGTCTGAGTTTGAGAAAGAAAGGGGGGCTTTCACTCTCTTGATCTGCTTCCATACTCTCTGTGTCCGTGGTGGCGGGCACACAAAATGCGGAAGTACAATCTGTAGTTCGTGCAACAGCCCTAGAGTCAGCGGATCTGTGCTGGGAGATAAGCAGGGAGATCTGGGCACTGGTGAGATGGAGGGAAGTTTACCAGAGTTCATTTACACACACCACCCACACTGTAATGATACAGAGCTGGTTGAAGATTGGTAAAGTATCCCTTTAGGCATGAATGTATGACATTTCACTCTGAAATCAGTCAGTAGATCTTTGCAAAGCTGTTTCCAGATACTGAGAAGTCTGTCAAACATGTGAATCTCCCAACTGTCAACAACCAATCAATTTTAGGCTGCAGAAAACTCTTGATTACTCTTGATTAATTGATGAGTAGTTTAGTCTTAAACATTGTCAAGAAATTGTGAAAAAAAATACACATCACAACTTCCCAGAGACAGATATGCAATTGTTTTTCTTTATGGCTGAACAGTCCATAAAACAAAGGTTGTATTACTCTCATATAAGTCAAATAAAGGCAGAATATGTTCACATTTGAGAAGCTGAAACCAGCAAATCTTTGGCAGTTTTGCTTGAGAAATGACATCAGATAAACCTCTTGTTAACTGACTAGTCCAACAGTCTAGCTCCAGAGTCTCTTTCCAGATTTATTCAAAGACAAGACAGTAATAGAGTAACAAGAAGCAGCATGAATGGCAATTGGAAAATATCAAATCGTAAATCTAAATTTGGACAATCAGCTATTTCCAAAAAGGGCTGTCGACTCTGGGACACATTACTGACTGAAATCAAACTGATTACAGATTTAAAACTTTACACAACAAAGGTCAAGGGCTGGCTAAAAGCAAACCAGGGCTGTGAGGGGTATTAGTGTAAGTGTATTGGTGTGTTGTGGTATGTGTCCTTAAGTATATGTATTGTGGTATGTGTGTAGTGGTATGTCTATTGTAGTAAATGTATTGTGGGATGTGTGTAGTGGTATGTCTATTGTAGTAAATGTATTGTGGGATGTGTTGTGATGTATGTATTGTGGTATATGTCCTGTGGTGTGTGGATTGTGGTTGACTTCAAGCTATGTCATTTGCAACAAACTGCTGCAATGACTCTGTGGTCAGCCCCCCCCTCACCGTCTTTAGTGGTTCTCATCTCCAGCATTGGTTTGTTTACATCCACACAGACCTGCTGCATCTGCGAAGACGCTCTGTTTGAATACACGCACATGTATGTGCACACGCAGTACGACTGAGTGCGATTGTGTCCGTGCCAAATCTCCATCACAAGCCCCCAGTGACATCAGGGGAAAGACGGACATGCTGTTGCACTGCGGCGGTGACCCTCGATAAGGATACTATTCACTTCCTGTGACATCAGCCAATCAAGCCGGGCCAAAGAGCAGCCACATTAGACCTCGCTCATTTAAAGGTCATCGGTTTCTGCTGCGGCTGAGGCGCCGTGCTTCGGTTTCATGTGCTCGAAACAACTGCAGCTCTTCAGAAGAAGCGAGCTGGTCACGGACAATAAATGGCGTTGTTGTCTTTCGACCGCAGCATACAAAATTGAGGCCCAGTAATCTGGCAGATGATCAGCAGAGCAGAGCGGGTTTGAAATGGGAGTCGCTAAATTCAGATCTCTCTTCCGGCACTTATCCACAGCGAGGACAGTTCATTTCCATGCATTTGTGCAGAAAATGGAGTTTTGATGTTTTGGATCTTCCTCTGTACCTAAATTTCTTCAATCATGGAAAGTAATTTAAAAATAAAAAACTCTTATTCATTGCAAACAGACTACAGCAGGATACATTCATGAATTTCTGACAAATATATTACATTTATTCCTTAATACATTTTCATAACCCACTGATGGAAATAATCA